TATTACTATTATTCCGAAGACCCGAGGACATGCGCGGCCCGCGCGACTTTCCCACCAGGTGAGCATTTTTTTTTTTCTTTTTTTCTTTTTCTTTTTTTTTTTTTTTTTCATTTCTATATGCGCCAAGAGAACAAAAAAAAAAGGGCCGCGTCGACTTGTTCCCCTCGTAGCGCGCACACGCTGGGCAAATATATACATATAGACGCTTCCTGCGTGCGCTTGATGTACATTCGGATACCTTATACAAACACGCACACTACTCTCTCCTCTCGGGTTCAGGTAAGAAAGAAAAAAAGAAAAAAAAAAAAAAAAGGAAGAGGAAGAAAGAGAGCCGGGGCAGAGAGAGGACAAAAATGCGCTAATGGGAGGCCGTGCATGCCCTCTCGGCGCGTCGTGCTGCCGGCTTGTAAGCGGCCTTGAGGGGTTTCTCTTCTTCTTTTTCCTCCTCTTCTGGGGCAAGGAAGAGAGGGCCCCTTCCTCATTTATACCGTGCATTGTATATATAAAAGTCCCAATGACACACACGATCGGCGGTATACACGGAGAACAGCCAAAGATGTTATGTGTATATGTATATATTTAATTAGAGCGCCGGCGAATATCGCACGAATGTTCACTTTTGCCCTTAATTGGAATTTAATTGGTATACATGACACACCATAGGATATTACGTACACGTATATATACCCATAAGCATGAGAGACCTAAATGTATAAAGAATCTCCGGGCATGTCGTTATTTCAAATGGAAATTTTAGGTTTTCGAGCCCCATACTTGTACACAATGTGTATAGGCTTTATTTACCGTGTGTTATACGTGCAATTTAATTTTTCGTGTACCCTATATACATGCTCTTTGAAATCGCATCCTAACGAGCTGGAATGCGCCGAGTATTTTTATCAAGGGGGAAATACCTCCTTTACCTTTGGATCTTTTTCGGTATATTTATAAGGACAGCTATAGTATATAATATATTATACGCTCCGTGGGCTTGTTATTTTATAAAAGAGGGACTTACATACGCGACATATACCGAGAGAGACAGAGGGGGAGATCGCCAAGAGGTAGGTACCTACTTATTTCGGGCGTGTTTTTGTTATCGTGAAAAAGAGGTGTAGATGCAGGTAACGGTATAAGAGTATACCTATATTGTACACGGCGACAGGATGGAATTGGGAGGAGGAAAAAAGAAAGCGTCGAGATTAAGAAAGAGGATGTGGTAATTATCAGTTTTTACTGATGGTCCGCATTGATTTTTTTACCCAGAAAAAGGAAAAAAAAAAAAAAAAACAATGTATACCTATAGGGTTTCTCCCGTTATATATTATACCAAAAACACACCCTTCGTCCCGATCGATAGACCCGTCAAATTTCGAAATCAATTGTGTCTCGCGCGCGCGCACGTGCAAACCGTTTCTCCGACTCTACTATTGTCGCCATTCTTTTGCACAATACAACGTGACATATACATGTATATTATATGTATATATATCCTACACACAGCGCTTTCGAACAAAGAGTCACGAATCCCTGCGATTCTCGGGGGCTGTGTTTTCTCCTCCTTCTTCTCAGGCGACGATTTAGCCATTAGAGCTTCAAAGCGAATGTATACATAGAATATGGAAAAAAAATTTTTTTTTTTTTTTTCCTTTAAATCAACGATACATCCACAAGGAATGTACGCTCGCGTGTACCGCACACGCCCATTAAAGTACACAAGAAAGGGAGGAGGAGGAAGCTGAGACGTATGGGTGCATGCACGGCATTCCAGACACCGCGTATATTATATATTAAAAAAAAAAAAAAAAAAAAAAAAAACAGCCGCCCATGTATATAAAAAATATAAGGCAGCACCGCGTACATGTACTTTATATATAGTTTATAGGTACGGGACGTATATACGAAAATATATAGTCAAGAGAGCGCGAAGAGGAGTAGGAAAAAGCGCCCATACAATATATATATTGTGAACACGGTCCCATGATGCTGTTATTCAGGCGTGCGAGGTGGAGGAGGAGGAGGAGATAAAGGGACTCGTGTAGCAGCGCCTGTATAACACACGCGCCTCCGGAGAAAGGAAAGGAGTCATCTCGCGTCTCTGGCACTCCATGGCCTCCTCCTCCTCCTCTTTGTCTACACTTACTCTCAACAACGGCCGTCCCGCGCAAAGGGCGCGTCCCTTGGGCTTTTAAAATTCTTACGTCTCCCCTGCTCGCCTCTCTCTCTCTCTCCTTTTTTTCCTTTTTTTTTCCCTTTTTTTTTATTCCCGATAACGCACTTCATACCGATCACGCACACACACGCGTGTCCACGAGCTCTTCGCGATTACGTTACATATAATATTGGGTACCTATATGCATTGGCGAGAGAACCGAGGCTTGGTTCATCCCAAGAGGTGCAGCTCGTGCGTATATATGCAGATGACGGGAAAAAACGCCGGCCGGCCTCTATACTCTTCCATCACCTCCTCGCGTATATGCATGTATATATACATAATGCGCGATAGAGTACAGACACGCACGATCGAGAAAGCTGTGAGCATATTTATATTATACGTCGGTGCACTTACTCCGCGGCGTCATGTATATACATACATATATTATTATCATCATCGTTCGCTGGAATCGAGTGAATCACGCCCGCGCGCGAACCCGATGTGTATATCCTCGTATAGTTGGTAATAATATCAATGGTGTACACAGAAACAAGAGCACGGAGGAAGAAGGGAGACGGAGAGAAAAGACTCTATTATAATTATATCGTCTGGGTTTTTCCTCGTCCGCGTTTCTTTTTTTTATCGGGGCTTTATTGTTACATCTGCCGATTATATATACACGCGCGATCGTCCCCGATGCCGATCTTTTTTCGTTCGGATCTGTATAGCATTGATGTACGTTGAGAACTACAGACATATATATTATACCATTCGTTTTTCTCTCGCTATGCTTATAATAATAAATAATAGCGGCTGGTGTCCATATTTCATCTATTGCATGTAGATATTACATGGTTTACATACAATCCTTTGTTCCCGACGCGAGAGTACACGATGATAATTGGTTTTGACGAATTTTTCCATCAATCAAGTTTGGTTGTACCGTCACGCGTTTCTTTGGAAGTACAGGCGGTGTAGAATTTCGATCAGATCGGAATATCGGGCTCGTGTACACGAACCAAAATATATTAATCATACGACTATGTATACAGTTTTTTTTTTTTTTTTTTTTTTTTTTCAAAGTCATAAATATTTTTAACCACGCGGTTTCAGAACCATTTTCGGCTCTTGGGTTTTATTGCCT